TAATAATAATGAGGGGAGAGAAATATAAGTAAATGGAGGAGAAGTCCACTTATGTAGGTTAATTCTGACATAGAGTCAGAAATGTGCAATGGTGGCAAGTATTTCTGGCCCCTACACCTCCGCTCTAAAGATAAATTCAACCAGCAGTTCTGTGGCTCTCCCAGGCTCAGTCTCCAGACCCAGGACCACTTGGAAGCCTCTGAAGAGGGCACTGGGTGACAGAAGCAATCTACAGCAGTGAGAGACCCACATCGTTTCCATATCCCTCACCCTCTCCTCTTCTGACTTCCTTCCCACTTTTCTCTTAGTCTCACACCCCCTTCTCTCTTTTGTTAACTGTGAGTTCTGTCCACGTATGGCATTTGGGGTTGATTTCAAGAACACAGTAATTGCAATATGTCATAAACCAACAACAGTAATAACATACAAGTTACATGTAAGTACAGGACGGCGCTGTCAGACCCCAGACTGTTGTCCACTTGCACGGTCACTCGGAAAATGCCCACGTTCTGATAGACGTGCTTGATCCCATCTTCCATGGAGCTGAGGTTGACGTAAGACACCGTGATGCCATCACCAAAGTCCACTTGGATGAGTGTCCTCTGGACATCACCCTGAAAAACACAGCCCAGCATCAGAGAAAGGAAGAAGATATCAGAGCGCCTGGCAGCTTCTGCTCTAGGTGTGCAGGGGCTGGGGCTTGTCCTGGATCCTGGCTCAGGGATAAACAACCACCTTGGCACCCACCTCCACCTGGGAGCATCTGTCTAGATTTGACAGAATTCCCGTGACATCCCTTGGCAGCCAGGAATGACTGCTAAGACAGATGCTCTCCAAATTTGAAGGGCACTGCCAACCAAAAGTTTTAAGGTTTTAAAAATGAACAGAGCTTGACTACCAGTTCTCGTGGCATGGTTAATTACTTAAAATAGCCCTTCTAGCCATGGTCCCCCATTTTGTGATATATTCTAAATTCTAGCCTCTACACCTATGGTTATACTCCTATTTTGGAATGAGTTACTGGATTTGCTATTGAGGCAGGGTTAAGGTGAGGGATATCTCATGTCCCCTCCTTACTAGAGGGTGTGACTGAAGTCACTGCTTAGTTTCCTTAGAGGTGTGGTCTGGAAAATTAGCTGTCATCTTCGATTTCTGTGTTACCTAAGAGTTTCCTGTTTTAAGTTGTCCCCTTAGTAGGCAAACTGACAGCTACCTGGTTAAATATGAAAAGCAGGAGGCTGAGGTCCCAGAATAGGATGAACCTAGACCTGGTATGTCCTCCACCTAACCCTTTGACATCAGGAGGTTAAAAACCACGTCTCCATCAAAGCTGCCTATCTTAGTAAGATGCCATCTTTGTGCTCCCCTTCCTGACTGAGCATACACAGAAGACCAGTGCGGAGTCACCTGAAGAGGAGCACCACGTAAACACTAGTTACCGCCCTGCTGGCAGCGGGACTCGGGTAGCCAGGTTGGCATAAGACACGGTGAGCTCCTCTGCCTAAGCGAGTCCTGGTTTTGCCTTTGGGCAGTTCACGTCTCTGTAGCTTTGTGAGCAACTTTGGCCACGTGAGCGCTCTTGCTCTGGGTCTTGCATCTCCCGGACCTCTGTGTTTTGAGGGGGAACTTGGGCCTGCAGCCTATTGCCTGACCAGATCCTCAGCACCCACAGCCTTGTGGGTAAACGCTTCAATTTGGGGTGAAAGAGGAAGATTCTCCAGATGGATGTCTAATTTTCAGGTTTGAGACTTGCTGCCTCCACAACCACGGGAGCCATTCAAGAGAGAGCTTGCGAGTTCTGTGAGATGTTGCCGCCAACTGCAGAACCATGCGACGTGAGGGACTATAGTAAAGGGAGAAGTAGTGGTTGACATCAGGGACAGGGCACTGGGATGGTATTTTGGAAAAGTTGGACATCTTTAACTTCCACTTCATTAGGGCCAGCTGGGTACTAATCATTCTAAAAGAAATTAATTTGGCAATTCTTCTGAAAACTTGGAGTAGTATGAGTAAGATGGTACCCATATAAAGAAAAGGGTAATACACACAATTTTTAAAGCATAACCTATCTGAAAAGGCCATCACCCAGAGCCCTGAATCACCCCATGTTTGTGTTGGATGGAGGACGGGGGACACCTCCCCTTACATCTGACATGACTTTGAATTCAGCCTTATTATTGTTCAAGACAATAATGGTAAAGCATTTCTCTTTCTGCATGTTTTACCTAATAAGATGTTATCAAACAGCTTGTCTTTTATTCTATAGCATTTTGGTCAAGAAAATAAAAATTACAAATGGTAGTTTCCCATTTTACAGATGAGGAAGTCCGAATCAAAGAAGATTGAACTGTTTGGTCAAGTTTAACCCAGCTGGGTTAGCAATCCTAAGGGTCAGACACATTTCTCTGGACTTCCACTTCCTTATTACTGGTGGAACCCGATGCGGGGGAGCAGGGGTGTGTGTATGAAGTTGTGAAGGCTCCTCCAGGCTTGAGTTCCAGCAGGCCAAGAAGAAAATGGGTGACCTTTTTTACATCTTCACTACCTCTTCATTCTCAATTGCCAGGCTATGAAAGGGTATGCAAATGTCGTCCTTTGTTAAGTCCAGGAGTCCTTATAAAAGGAAAGGAGAGAACTTGTCATCTCTAAGATAACTACTAAAGCAAATAACTCTAAGTGCAATGGGAAAAGACTTCTTTTCCTTCCAAAGCTAGATAGGAGTCATATGAGTCTACATTTTCCAAAGGTAGCCAACAACCATAACCAAACGTGTTGCCCTGGAGTCAATTTCGACTCATCGTGGCCCCTCCTGTTACAGCGAGTGCTCCATTGGGGTTTTGCCACAGCTTCCAGCCCTTTCTCCCACAGTGCTGTGGGTTCCAACCACCAACCCAGGAAAATATACATTTTCCTTCGTAAATATCCAGACCACGAGCAACCATTCAGATGTTCAAGGAGCAAAGTGCTTTAGACCCAAGTGAGAAAAGCCATTGTTTTCATGCAAGGCCCATCTTCTGGGGAGAGGGATCTTTGTACTGGAAATATATTTTTTATTAACTGTGGCTCATATGGTATCCTATTTTTTGAAAAGGCCAAGTTGAAAATGGTGACATTGAAAAGATTAATTCACAGGAGAAGGAAATGCAGTTCAGATTCTCTGAATATCTGTGACCTGCGTCTCTGATCTATGCCCAGCCAAGCATTGTGCAAGGTGCGTACGGCAGCTCATGCTCAGAAAACACATGAGCGGAAAAAAAACCCTTTCCAGGGGAAATGGGAACTGCGTTTAAAACTATAAAGCTTGTCCATCAGTGCAAGCACCGCGCACTCACTGGAACTCCCCTTCCACTCATCAATGTTAACCAACCCTGCTGACTGCTCCTTTATGTGGACGACCAAAGTTAATTCCCCAATTTCCTATTTTGTTCTTTGTCGGGTTTCCCTCCCATGTTCCTCAGCTTTCCAAGAGAATTATTATTAAACCAGCCCTAGGTGTGGGCCTGGAGGAAGACGCCACTTGTTAATATACTCACAGATCATTTAAAGTAAGTGCCAGCTCATAACAGAGAAGTACCAGGCGTAGTTGGGACTGGCAGGTTAACCGTGGTATATTATCAACTAGATAAAAGGCTGCGGGGTGAAGGGGTTGCAAGGATAGGAAAGAGCAAGAGAAGGAAAATTGTGGTGACAGCTCATAGCAACCATGTCTGGTGGCAGAGAACGACACTGTCGGGTTGCCGAGGCCATAAATCTTTATGAGACAGATGGCCACATCTTCTGTCCTGCAGAGCAGCTGGCCCACCAACAGTTGGATTTTCATTTGGCCTAGCAGCTTAACCCCTTCACCACTGGGGCTCAGTTGGGCCCCGGAAGGAGACACAGTTCTCACTCATGCTAATGTCTCCTATGGCTAGCAGGTGAAAGGAAAGCAACAATGCGTGTTTGCACTAAGACTTTAGTTAAAAATCCATTGGAGACATTGTAAAAGTTACCTCCTCCTCGCTGTAGTCTTGCCCTAGGGCAGCAGTTCTCAACCTGTGGGTTACGACCCATTTGCAGGTTGAATGACCCTTTCACAGGGGTCGCCAGATTCATCACAGTAGCAAAATGACAGTGATGAAGTAGCAACGAAAATAATGTTATGGTTGAGGGGTCACCACAACAGGAGGAACTGTATTAAAGAGTCGCAGCATGAGGAGGGTTGAGAACCACTGCCCTAGGGGTTTTCTGGTGTGTGGTAAACCTAATATTATTAGAAGCACACCATCCTGGAATTGTTTCCTCTTCAGCCTCTGGCTTCCTTGAGCTCCCAATGGTAGCACCAGGAATGTCAATCCCTTTCACAGAATAAAGAGTCCCTGGTGGCACAGTGGGTTGACTGCTAACTGAGAGGTCTGGGGTTCAAATGCATCAGGCACCGTGAGACAAATATGAGGCAAGTCTACTTCTGCACAGATTTACAGCCTCAACTTTAGGGAGCAGCTTCACTCTGCCCTACAAGGAGGCTTCAAAAAGTCTGTTTAAAACAAACCTTTTATCCTTTAATCCCATTTTCCATGAACTATTTAAAGCCTCCTGGTACAGGGTCTCGATGAGATGAAATCAACTCGATGGCAATGGGTAGTTTCAGAGAATAAGAACTAGATAATGGGGAAGAGAGCATCTGTCCTGAAACACCATTTGATAAGGGATGCAGATGGCACAACCTTGCTTGCTGAAGGTAAAGGGAACTTGAAGGATTGACTAATGTAGATCAAAGACTACAGCCTTCTGTAGGGATTACACCTCTACATAAATTAACGAAAATCCTCACAATGGGCCCAGTAAGCAGCATCAAGATAAATGGAGAAGCTATTGAGGTTGGGGAGCATTTCATTTTACTGGGAACCGCAATCAACATCCAGAGACACAGCAGTGAAAAAACCTAAGTGTTGTTCAATTGGGTAAATCTGCTGCAAAAGACGCCTTTAAAGCAGTACAAAGGCAAAGATGTCATTTTGAGGGTTAAGGTGCACCTGGCCCAAATCATGCCATTTTCAATACCCTTATATTCAGGCAAAAGCTGGATAACGAATGAAGAAGGATGAAGAACGAATGCCTTTAAATGATGGTGTTGGCAGATAAATATTAACAATAGAATGGACTGTCCGACGAATGGACAGATCTGTCTTGGAAGAAGTATAGACAGAATGCTCCTAGATGTAAGAAGAGTGAGACTTTGTCTAATGATCTTTGGACGTATTTTCAGAAGGGTCCAATCCCTGGAGAAGAACATCATTTTTGGCGAAGTACAGGGTCAGTGACAATGAGCAAGCCTTCCAATGGGATGGCTTGACATACGAGCTGTGACAATGGGCTCACATATAGCAACCATTGTGAGATGTTTCAGAACTCAGCAATATTATTTCGTTTTATTGTACACAGGGATACTATGAGTCGGAACTGTCTTGATAACACCACACAGAGTTTGTCTTACTTTATCTGACACTCTGGTCACTCATTCATTCATCCATCCATCCATCTATCCATCAACCAATTGGGTGGTATTTATTGTATCTATCAAAGTGTCAGGCACTGACCGCAAATACCCTGGCAAGTAAATAATAATCAGCCAAATAAAAATAATTCATGGGTTTCCAGACTACTAATGAAATATTTGAACTTTAATTACAAAGCTGCACAGATACATAAAGAGAAAATATGAGAGTGCATGATCAGAAGGAGAGCTGTACAGTATTTAAAGCTTCTAGAACAGGGTTAGTTGTAGATCTGATCTCATTGGGACCACCATGGAAGGCTTAGGAAGATGAGAGGACCTGAATAAAGAGTAGGAATTAACTAGGCAAAGGTCATGAATGAGTGGGTTGGAGATGAGGAAGTCCAGGCGGAAGTAACAGAGGGAATCGAATGCACAGAGATCTGGTAGCAGAACAAAAGGAAGGAACCTCAGCAGTGGACCGAACTTGACCCACTGCCCTGGAGATGATTCCAACTCAGCGTGAGCCTGGAGGGCGGAGCAGAACCGCCCCTGTGTTTCCAAGGCCGTCATCTTTACAGCAGAGTAGCCGGCATCAAACTGTTGACTTTAGGATCAGGCCAACATTAACACCCATAGCTTATTGGTGTAAAAAGTAAAATCGCTAATCCCAGTCTATCAACATCACTTAGAGAATTATTATTATTTTTAATGTGGATCTTCAGCTCCTACCCAAGACCCACCTGTTAGATCACGGCTTTTAGGGAGAAGGGAGAGGAGCCGCATAGCTAATGTCAGATTGGGCCAAAAGTTGAGGCTCTCTGCTTCAAATTGCTAAAAGTTAGTTATTCTTGTGATTGGATTCCTCTGAATAGGAATTCAGTGGAGACAAACTAATGATATTCTTATTCCATTTGGCTATGATAGCTGAGCTTCACCAGAATGTTTCCGGAATCCAAATGTATATGCTGCATTAACAAAGCTGGGGCTGGAAGCACTCCATTCATTGTGCGTGGCCTGGAGCCCAAACCCAAACCAGAGTTCCCCTGTGCTCCCTTCGGCAGCGCATAGACTACAACATGAGATACTGAGAAGAATAGCGCGGCCCCATGCGCAAGGATGACACGCAGATTCGTGAAGCAAACAATGTCAAGGAGCCCAGGAAGGTAAAGACTGTTTGGAAACGGATTGTGGTAGCAACTGTACAAGACTACTTGACATGACTGAACTACAGAATGATATAATAATAGATACTAACCCCCAATTAGAAACAAATTCAAATAAATAAAATATAAAACAACGCAACAACAGAAAGTTCCATGATGGCTGCGGTCATGATCAACTCACATCTGTAGAAAATGGCTGGCTGGATGATACTGAGCTTGTTTATGGGTCCACTCACCGGGGCAAAGTGACCCTCGGTCAGGACTGGATCTGCCACACCCAACCCCATGCCTGCAGACTATACATTAGCAGGAAACAACTGTCAACAGTGTACATTTCAACTGTGATTATTTGTTAAACATTCATAGACATATATTACTTTATTTGGCTCTTAAGAGGCCTGTGAATTAGGAAAATCAGATGCTTCCTATTGGATTCTTTCTGGGAGAGGCCAGAAAGGATAAATAACATGCCTACGGTCAGAGCTGGTTGAGATTGACTAGGAAAACCAAACCAAACCAATGCGTGGCCATCATGTTGATTCTTAGTTATAGTGACTTTATAAAACAGTAGGATTACCCCACAGAGGCTGCAAGACTGTACATCTTCATGGAAGTGGATGGCTACAGTAAGAAAGGGTTCACTGTTATGTGTGATTGAGCTTCTTTAGTTTAAAGCTACTGTGACTCCTTCCAGAGTGACCCCAGGGTGATCGCAAAGGCAAAATCATTTTATTTTCCTGCTGGGTTCTCTTTACCCCTCTGACAAGACTTATGCTGAGAAGTGGAAGCCAGATTGGCCTGGCCTCCATACTCCCCTTCTCTGCCTGCTTTCTAGCAAAGCGGAATCATGAGTAAGTGAGAAAAGAAGCCAGAGATGATGAAACACTGTAAGTAGTCACAACTTGTAGTCAGGAAAGCCTCGTGTACAATCCAAAGTTACTTCAGTCTGATAAAAGTCATCAGTCTGAAACAACCCAGGCTGGCTAGCATCCAGACTGTCCTATCAATTCTACTGATCAAATGGTCTTTAATGACCTAGTCTAATAAAGAAGAAGCACTGAGACTCCTAGCTCCAAAGAAGGGCCTGGGAAAGACAGGAAGTTTTACGGGGATTCTCCGGGATCTTCACTGACTCCTGTAACAGAAAAGCAAACGCATCAAATGAGCACAACGAAGCCACGGTTCACCTGAGGAATGAGAGGTGTGTGGACCTATCAGCTCCTGTGACGTGGCTTTGGAGAAGGATGAGAACACAAATGCTACAGTGACTCAATCCTGAGAGCCGGAGCCCAGAAAATGAGGTTCTGAGATGCTCCTGTGGAGCCACTGTGGAAGGAACCCAGGCACACATGTCAGGCCAGGTCCAGAGCCAAGCGTGAGAGCGGGCCGGACTCAGAGCTCATGGAAATATAGTCTTCGAAGGCACTTTAAAGAACATTCTGCAAGCAGTACATTACAGACGAGTGATACAGTATGACGTCCTTTTATTTCAAAACTTCTAAAGAGCAAAGAATTACACATTATACATATGCGCTCTATACATGGACCATTTGCAAGGGTATAGAGAAAGGTGCTAGGAAATATAACCTCACCAGTTAATGTTGATTATTCCAGGGTGGGATAAGGTGTCAGTGGAATGAGGAGGGGCAGGCAGTAAATGATAAGGGGGGGAGCCACCAAATTTAAAAAGAGGACATGCCAAGGCATAACATGACACTGGAAAACACAGCAACACTCTTGTTTTGACTTTTACCGAAGAGGCAGAAACATCAATTAAGCATATACAAAATAATCAGAAGATAACAAAGATGGGTTTGTTTTGATGGATGATGCAGTCAACACTGGTCTTTGTGCATTTTGTGTCTTGGTACTTGCCTAACAAAATATCCAAATACTTCTGGCTGGAATGCTCAGATCTCGGGCTTCCAATTGGAACATCACAAACTAGTTTAATCCTTCACTTGCAATAAGCTCCAGCAGCATGTGTTTCACTGCACAGCAAAATTCCAAAATATAATCCCATTTACTCTTCCACCCCGAAAGACACAGACAAGTTAAACTTTGCCTATTTTGAACTAAGCTCTTCTGAACATTAAGTCCTAGTACTGGTTCACAAAAGACACAAAACCTATTCTATTAAGCTCATATCTCAGTGGGAGCTAGAGAGCAGCTTCACTTCTATATGAAACCAGAGAGCTTCTTTGTAAACTTCAATAACAAAAAACTTTTAAAGGAACATGAAGATGGAGCTTGTTGTTTCCATGTAAGAGGATACCAGGGTAATCAGCCAAGCTCTGTTAATACCAAGGACGCAATGAAGAGTGCTTGTGAGGCCCCCTGGTGGTGTAAGCTCACAACAAAGATCACCCAACACTGGGCCAGCCAGGGAATTCAGACTCTTAGGGACTCTACAAGCAGAGTAAAAATGCCCCCTGTGGTTTCCAAGATTGTAACTCTTTACAAGAGTAGAAAGCTGCATCTTTCTCCCAAAGAGCAAGTGGTTTGTTTGGAACTGCTGACCTTGTGGTTAGCAGCCCAACTTGTACCTCACTAGATCACCAGGGCTTCGAACAAAGAGTACAGTAGCACTAAGAAACCAGTCCAATTAACTGCATTGGAAGAAAGTCCCATTGGGGCTGATAACCAACCCCAGGGTTGAGTTCAACCCTACCAGCTGCTCCACAGGAGAAAGAGGAAACTATCTGCTTCCATAAGGATTTACAGTAAAGGGCAGTTCTACTCTGTCCCATAGGGTCACTATGAATGGGATCAACCCCATGGCAGTGAGTTTTGAACTGTAGTGGACAGACGCAAGTGCCATTATATGTTGGTGATCTGAAGTCTTCTAGTTCAGGGAAATGGCAATCTATGAGAGATGGAAGTGCACATACCCCATCCTCTGCTGCTAAGCAAGTTCTTAATCCTCTCTGGTAGCTCTTCTTAGAGCTGCTATCAGGAGGCCTCTATAGTTCTGCAGGAAGTATGGTTCTCAGATGTTTGCTCTGGATCATGCTCTCTGAGCTTCTCGTCAGTTACAAAACTGTGCTCTGAACAATAGTCCCAAGAGGTTCCGAGCCCAGCATCATGGAAGATAACAGCCAGCTCCTTCTCGCTCCTATTCAGAGCTGATTTCCCAAGCAATGGTGGCTCTCCAAATGTGCAGACCCCTAGGCGTCTCTACAAGGGACCGAGTCAGTGAGCACAGTGAGGGGGGAAGGTGCACGGGCTTTAATGGTCCCTCCTACTCAGAGATGTCAGATCCGACAAAGTCAGTGATGCCAGGAAGACTAGATTATGGACCAACCAAAGCCCTGGACCAGACACTTGGCATTTCACCTTCTCTCCAGTAAAAAACAGGTGGCTGATTTTTCACATTTTTCTTTGAGCATTTTGTGTCTTGGTACTTGCCTAACAAAATATTCAAATACTTCTGGCTGGAATGCCCAGATCTCGGGCTTCCAATTGGAACATCACAAACTGGTTTAATCCTTCACTTGCAAATGAGCCTCAGCAGCGTGTGTTTCACTGCACAGCAAAATTCCAAAATTCCTTTTGGTGTCTTCCAACCTCGGTGTCTGGCTGAGCGTGGAGCAAACAGCATAAGGCAGGAGGGGCTTGGCTTGTAGAAGCGGGTGGCTAGCTATCAGCTGGAGCTGCTCTGTGCCGTCTAGCCATGGTGGGCTAGAGGAGTTGGGAACCTTTAGAAACATATATTTTGGTGATTTAAGCTATGTTGTTATTCTATTACCCCTGAATGGTGGCATTAGGAACGACCTGTGTAGGCTTTGATAAGAAAAGTATGGGGCTGCCAAATGACATATACTTATCAATATTTTTGAAGGGCTTTCTAAAACCCCCTGTAAAAGTGAAACATGCAGCTGTGTGATAGGAACCAAACTGTATTTTTTAAAGAGTACAAGAAAGATCCCTTTAGGAATAAACCCATGCAAGCGACGTTGAGTACTGAATTTCTTAGTACTAAAACGTGTAATAAAAATGTGTTAGCCTCACTAGAAAAAAGAGGAAACATATGATTGAATATTCATTTTCAATATATAAAATGATGAATGGGAAAATGTAAGGTACCCATAGTTTTACCACCCAAAGATTATACTTTTAGTAGATTGGTGAATACCTTTTTAATCAACGAGCACACATAAGGGTATTGCCAGATACACACACACACACACACACACACACACACACACACACACACACACACACACACACACAGACACACAATAATAACTTACCCTGACAGCATGGAACAGTATGTTTTTGGCATTATGCAGTCAACATTTTAGAATAGCTTTCAAGCAACAGATG